TTCTGGCCAGAATTTGAGTCAAATGAGGGATGGATTTGTGAACTTCTAATAGAAAATGTTGCTAGTAGAAGACCTGCCTCCCGAGAAGAAATAGATTATGCCCTATGTTAGTGGCAAGGAGTTGTCCTTTCCCCTCCTCCAAGGATTGAAAGAAGCAAGTCAAAAACTAATCTTTGGAGGAAAATTAGTTATACATGTGCCCTATTAAGATAGAACCATCTTGAATGAAAAAGACAGTGAAGGAAGGGGCTCAGGGGTTCCTAGCAAAAAGAACAATAAGCAAGATCCCCTAGACCATTCCTCACCTAATATACCCAACCCTTCCCCTCAGGCATTGCCCCATAAGTCTGTTCTTCCCCAGCCTACGTCCCTCTCCCCTAAAGAACTCCAAGCTCCTAATTCACCAGATGGCTTTTGCCAGGCTAGCAACATGAAGGATCTGCCGCAACATGTTGTTAGCATTGTCTGGCCCATAGTGCACCCCTGTGGCAGGCAAAGCCCATACTCCTGCCCACTGGCTGGTCCACGGTCCCGGCACTGTATTGACGGCGGCTCTGCATGACATGCGAGCCAGGCCCCAGCCTATGCCCCATGCAAACTACATTATAGGATATCTGCCTTACTTTTGCCAAGGTCGAGTAATACGGGGCTTCAGCCATGGCTGCAAGCAGCCTGGCATCCCCGCAGCTAGGTTTCCTAAGCAAGAAGTAGATAATCTTTCAGCTGATATATCCACCAGCATTTATTATAGTCAGGCCAGTGTTAAAAGTGAAAATATCCACCAGAAAAGAACTTTGATTCTTTAAAGTCAGTTATATTAAAATGTACCACCAAAAAAGAATTGCATGTGTATAAATAGGAAGCTATTCTGTTGAAAATGATAGTTTAACATAACTAGTAATTCGCTTAACCTAACAAGTTTCTTAAAGAAAGATCCAAATCTAAAAAGGAAGCACACATGTTTAGATTTAACTGATTACCATGCAAACATCTGGCCAAACTTAAGAGAAACCCCCTTCAAAAATGATTAAAGAAAAAAGGATTCAACAGATGTTCAATAATTAACAGAGAAGTCCCTAGAGAAATAAAATTTTAAAAGTTGTTTAATAATTGGTTGACCCAAATCTGTAAGCTGTTTGCACTTAGTCAAGCTTTAAAGTACCTGCAAAGGAACCATCTATTCTAACCTACACTGATTCTAAATACGCCTTTATGGTGGTTCATACATTTAGAAAATTTCAGACAATTAATAATAAAGGTCAAAGCCTTATTCATGAAGAGTTAATCACCCAAGTGTTAAATAACCTTCAGTTACCAGAAAAAAATCCACTGCCAACATTCCTACATACTTGGTTTATCTTCCACTTTCTCTTCCCTCAAAACTCACAATTTTCCAGTGCAGGTGCCTCCCCTAGAGTTCCCAGTACATCAACACCAGCCCGAGGAGCCGGCCTAGTACTTCCCACCATTGAAACTGCAGTCCGGACAGCAGAGAAAGGATAGACCCATCACACCCGAGTCAAGAAAGCACCGCCACCCCCAAAATTGTAGGCCATTATTCCAGGGGGAAACCCCCTCAAACTAAAGCTAAGAAAAATTTAACTCTCTTCCATCTATTCTATTACTCTTTCTTCTTTTCCCCTTCTAATGCTGACCACCTTGTCATTAATGTAACTCAATCAAACTCACCCCAAGTTATCACGTTTAATGTTATGTCTAGTCATACCCTGTAAAGATCTCCAAAGTCAAAGACAAGTCTCAGCCTCAGAAAAGTATCTCTGTCCCTTTAAGGTGAAAGGCTCCCCCTACCAAGACTCTTATTCCTTAACAAATATAAGAAAACAAGTCTGTCATAGCTAGAATGATGTCCTATGGACAACCAAATATCAAGGCTAGACCCCATCAGCAAGTGGCTGTATATCCTAAAAACCATACATTCATTTCACTAAAAAAGCACCTCCCCCAATTGCCAGTATAATCAATGTAATCCCATACAAATTTCTGCCTCTACTGACCCTAAACCTACTTTAAGTCCCTTCTATAGCATAGGAGCCAACTGGCCAGCACAGACCTCATAAGGTCTTTCGAAGTGCGTTTTATTAATTTTTCATTCTCTTTACCCCCTTCCTTCTCTTCTCCTTCTAAGCTTTCTTTTAATCAGACTGCCACCTCTTTTCTACCTAATGATAATACTAAAGTAAATATTGTAGAAGTAAAAGATTTAAGACAAACCCTAGCAATTAAAACAGGATATCAAGATGTAAATGCCTGGTTGGAATGGATTCAATATTCTGTCTGCACATTGAACAAAAGCAATTGTTATGCTTGTACGCATGGCAGACCAGAGGCCCGGATTGTTTCCTTTCCACTAGGATAGCCCTTCAGTTGACCAGGCATAGGCTGTATGGTAGCTCTTTTCCAAAATTCCACAGCCTGGGGCAACAAAGCATGCCAAGCTCTCTCTCTGCTATATCCTGAAGTCCAACAACCTGCAGGTCAGCCCCCAAAGGCCATTCAGTGTCCATCCCCCAACGTCAATTTCACCTCGTGTCTCTCACGACAAAAGGAGAATTTAGCATTCCTTAGAAGTTTAACAAGATGCAATAAGCTTAAGCCCTTCCAAAAACTTACCCATCAGTCTGCCCTTAGTCATCCTCAAGCAGATGTATGGTGGTATTGTAGTGGACCTTTACTGGACACTCTGCCAAGTAACTGGAGTGGCACTGGCGCTCTTGTCCAACTGGCGATCCCTTTCACCCTGGCATTTCATCAACTATAAAAGGAAAAACCACAACACCGAAAAATAAAATAAGCCCCTTATAAGTCTTTTGAATCTCAAGTTTACATAAAGGCCATTAGAGTCCCACGGGCAGTTGCCTAACAAGTTCAAAACCTGAGACCAAATAACTGCAAGATTTAAATCCATATTTCCATGAATAACTATTAATAAAAAGGTAGCTTAGATAAATTACATCTATTATAATCAGCAGCAGTTTATGAATTACACCAAGGATGCTATCAAAAGAATAGCTGACCAATGAAGGCCTACTAGCCAAATAGCTTAAGAAAACAGAATGGCTCGGCTAGGCGCAGTGGCTCATACCTGTAATCCCAGCACTTTGGGAGGCCAAGGTGGGCGGATCACGAGGTCAGGAGATCGAAACCATCCTGGCTAACATGGTGAAACCTCGTCTCTACCAAAAAATACAAAAAAATTAGGCGGGCGTGGTGGTGGGCCCCTGTAGTCCCAGCTACTAGGGAGGCTGAGGCAGGAGAATGGCGTGAACCCAGGAGGCGGAGCTTGCAGTAAGCTGAGATCGCACCACTGCACTCCAGCCTGGACAACAGAGCAAGACTGTGTCTCAAAAAACAAAAAACAAACAAACAAAAAAACCAGAATGACTCTAGACATGTTATTAGCCGAAAAAGGTGGAGTTTGTGTTATGATTAAAACCCAGTGTTGTACCTTCATCCCAAACAACACTGCCCCCCAGTGCGAGCATAACAAAGGCCTTGTAAGGACTTAGCACTTTATCCAAAGAATTAGCTAAAAATTCTGGAGTCAATGACCCTATTTCAAGATGGCTAGGAAAGTAGTTCAGTAAATAAAGAATCATAGCCTCAATACTTAGTGCTCTTACAGTCGTAACAGATGTACTTATTCTTGTTAGATGTTGTGTCATAGCACGCATCCATAGGCTAATACAAAGGATTGCACAGACAGCACTTACTGAAACCCCCCTTAGTTCTCCTCCACCTTGTTCTAGTAAGCTTTTCCTTTTAAAAGATCAAATCAAACAGCAAAGCCAAAACACGTTAAAAAAGTTTAAAGAGAAAAAGATCATAAGAAAATGAAAAGGGAGGAATTGTCACACACACAGTACATTTCTCTGAGTTTCTTTTCAAAGATTTAGCCTGCTAACTTCCTTGTCTTTTGTTCTCAAACTCAACTTTCCTGTTCCTCCTTGCCCCTAGTTACTGTAAAACAGCCTAGCCCCTTCTCATCAGCTCTCATTAGTAACTCCCATCTGTTCCCTTGGTTACCTGTACCCATTGTTCCCCTGAAACTGCACGTCTCACGCGCTGCACCTCTGTACCTCACATTCCCCTCTCCTTCTGTATTTAGAAAAATATGTACAAGTAGCCAGTCGGGTCAGCTCAGATTGTGTGGTCGAACCCCAGGCCATGAAGGAGTGACACAGAGATAGGGACTGCATTAAGGACATAAAACCCCCTGGTGACGTTTGTTCTCTGTGCTCTTGTGATCTTGATTGACACAAGTGGCACCCTTCCGCAGAAGTAAATTGCCTTGCTAAACAAATTAAACTTTTCCCTAAGTGTTAGTTTTACTTCGCAGGACCAAGAATTTATTCCTAAAGCATTTTATATCTAACAGAGATCTTCGTATATATAAAGAAAATGTGTGAAGATCAGGCTAGAGACAGAATTGTTTGGGCGGCGTCACCTGGATAAAGTTGACAGTTTCTTTAGGTCAAAAGCTTAAATTAACCTCAGGAGAGAGTTTGCTGCTGGTGAAAATGAAGATCTGGAAGAAGGGAGCATTTTCACACTGTGAGGAGGGGATGGGGTAAGTGAACAAGTCTTGGCCATGCCTCATCCCCACTTGCGGCCCGCTTGAGGACATATGCCTCTCCTCCTGGTGCAGGCGTGCCTGGCCTGGTCTCCGTTCCACTGCTGCTCTGAGGCAGGAGATGGCTCCTGTAGACACTGAGTCTGAAATTCCCTGCACACTCCTGTGACCCCGTGCAGAACGAAGGAGCAGGGACAGTCCCTTGAGTGAGGAAAACGCTAGCGTTCTCCTCTATCAATAGCAAGTTTGGATGAAATGCAAATATCCAATAACCAGAGTGCAGGAAGGAGCTCACCCTTAGGGAAGCAGTGGTTAAAATCCGTGAGTCTGGCTCTGCAGGGCCTGATACCCAGGGCTTCCGCTGTCACTCAGACATGGGGGCGGGGCCTAGCATTCCATCCAATCAGAGGCACTGGGGCGTGGCCCTGCCCAGTGTTCAACCAGACACGGATAGGGTCGCATTCCTGCCCTCACGTTTGTGGCTGAGCGGGCCGCGGTTCGGATCCGGTGTTTCCAGCCCCGAGAGGGACCTGGTGCCTCTACCCAGGATTTTGTCGCTCTGTCACCTGCGCTATGCCCTGCTGTAGTCACAGGAGGTGTAGAGAGGACCCCGGGACATCTGAAAGCCAGGAAATGGTGCGTGTCTGGGGCTGGGTGTCGTGAGACGGGGGAGGGGCTGCCTGGACCGACCAGAACCGACTGTGGCGAGACCCCGGCCTTCCTGCGGACGACTTCGGGATCTGGGACCAAGTCCTCCTGGAGCCGCTCGGCCCTCGGTCCCCTCGGCTGCTGGGTGTGGCTGGGCCGACAGCCGGGACACCAGGCGTCCTGTCCCGTCCCTGCGCGGCGACTGCGGCTCCAGAGCCCTCTCTGGGCAGCTCCGCGCCCGCAGCCACGCGTCTACCCAGATTGTGCGGAAGCCGCGGGGGGGTCATGGGGGGGATCCCGACTCGGGTGTGGGGTTCGTGCGTAGGAGGAGCAGCGGTCTGTGGGGCCCCCAGTGTCCACTTTTTCTCTTGTTAAAAATTAAACTGAGGAAGGTTAACAAAGAGTTCATTTGAGCAAACAGCGATTCACGAATGAGACACACCCAGTCCTGGCTTGTGGTTTGTCAAAGGAAAAAGCCAAACTATGTAAAATAAAGAAGTTTGTTCGGAGCCGAATAGGGGAGACCTTGGCCGAGGGAAAAACATCCCCAAGAAGCCTGGAGTGAGTGGTCCCGAGGCGGCTCAAAACAGTTTGGTTTTATTCATTTTAGAGAGACAGGAATTGCGGGGAAAATAATGAATTAGTTACTGGAAGGTTTAAGTTCCTTTGGCAGAAAGGGCGGGACCTGGCCGGGCGCGGTGGCTCACGCCTGTAATCCCAGCATTTTGGGGGGCCGAGGCAGGCGGATCACCTGAGGTCAGGAGTTCAAGACCAGCCTGGTCAACATGGTGAAACCCCGTCTCTACTAAAAATATTAAAAAGAAACTAGCCGGGCGTGGTGGTGGACGCCTGTAATCCCAGCTACTCGGGAGGCTGAGGCAGGAGAATTGCTTGAACCCAGGAGACGGAGGTTGCAGTGAGCCCACACAGTGCCACTGCACTCCAGCCTTGGCGACAGAGTGAGACTCTTGTCTAAAAAAAACAAAAACAAAAACCAGGGTGAGACCTGTGGAAAGGGGATTAGAAGGCACAAGTGGTTGAGGGATTCTGTAGGTGGCAGCTGGTTGAGAGTGTGAAGCTTTGTCTAAAGTTTGGAGGAGGTAGGAAGGAATGCTGAAGGAAGGGGGTCTGTTATCTGCCACTTGATTCCATTCCAGCCAAAAAACAGACCTGTTTCTCTAGATTTTATGAATTCTAAGGCATGACTTACCCTTGCCTTGCGAGGCCTTAGGTCTTGTTTGTAATTTGGTATCTTATTGCCACAGGAGTCTTTTTTTTCCAGGCTGATGATGTCTGTTTTTACATGAATGTGCCTCAGTTGCTGCATCTAAACTCCTAAAGGGAGAGGGTGTTGCTGTGTTGGCCAGGAAGCCTGTCTCACCTCCCATCCTGTCATACAGAGGAACTCAATTTTCAGGGTTTTTTAGGGGTCCCCTTGGCCAAGAGCCAGTCACTTCCCTTACCTGGGAAGGTACTTTGTTTTTGTTTTTGTTTGAAACAGAGTCTCCTTCTGTCACTCAGGCTGGAGTGCAATGGCTGGATCTCGGCTCACTGCAACCTCCACCTTCTGAATTCAAGCGATTCTCCAGCCTCAGCCTTCCAAGTAGCTGGGATTACAGGCACACACCTGAAGGGGGCCTGCCTCTCCACACCTGTGGGTATTTCTCATCAGGTGGAGACGACAGACTGAGAAAAGAAATAAGACACAGAGACAAAGTATAGAGAAAGAACAGTGGGCTCAGGAGACTGGTGCTCAACATGTGAGGACCTACACTGGTGCTGGTCTCTGAGTTCCCTCCGTATTTATTGATCATTATTTTTACTGTCTTGGCGAGGGGAGTGTGGCAGGGCCACAGGGTGATGGTGGGGAGAAGGTCAGCAGGGAAACGTGGGCAAAGGAACCTGTATCATGAATAAGTTCAAGGAAAGGTACTGTGCCTGGATGTGCACGTAGGCCAGATTTCTGTTTCACTTGACACAAACATCTCAGTGTAGCAAAGAGTAACAGAGCAGTGTTGCTGCCAGCCTATCTCGCCTCCCACAGGGCGGGGTTTCTCATATCTCAGAATAGAATGAATGGTCGGCTTTACACTGAGACATTCCATTCCCAGGAACCAGCAGGAGACAGAAGCCTTCCTCTTATCTCAGCTTCAAAGAGGCCCGCATCTTTCACTACTCCTTCTCAGCACAGACCCTTCACAGGTGTCGGGCTGGGGGATATAAGGTCTTTCCCATGAGGCCATATCTCAGGCTGTCTCAGTGGGGGAAACCTTGGACAATACGCAGGCTTGTTTGGGTAGAGGTCCCTGCGGCTTTCCGCAGTGCATTCTGTCCCTGGTTAACAGAGAATTGAGAATGGTGATGACTTTTACTAGGCATACTGCCTGCAACCATATTGTTAACAAGGCACATCCTGCACAGCCCTAAATCCATTAAACCTTGATTCAATACAGCACAGGTTGCTGTGAGCACAGGGTTGGGGCTAAAGTTACAGATTAACAGCGTCTCAAAGAAGAACAATTTTTCTTAGTACATACCAAAATAGAGTTTCTTATGTCTTCTTTTTCTACATAGACACAGTAACAATCTGATCTCTCTTTCTTTTCCTCACACGCACCACCACGCCCACCTAATTTTTGTGCTTTTAGTAGAGATGGGGTTTCACCATGTTGGCCAGGCTGTTCTCGAACTCCTGACCTCAAGTGACCCACCCGCCTCGGCCTCCTAAAGTGCTGAGATTATAGGTGTGAGCCACCTCACCAGACCAGAAAGTATGTTTTTATTTTTAATTTACAGGTTGAAGGCTAGGCTTTTATTAGGTGCATGAGGAGACAAACCAGATAAATGCTTGATTGGTGGCAGAGATGCAGGTGCCTTATTTGGACTTGTCACTCCAAAATAATTGAAAGCTTCAGATTTCAGTTTGAAGAGTTTATTCAAGCAGAAAGATAGCAATGGCCCATTCAGGAAAAAAATAGACTCCAGAGAAGTGGACTCAGTATTCTAAAATTGGAAGTTAAGTTCTTGCTTATATCACCAGGAAAAGAGGTCCTGATCAGACCCCAAGAGAGTTCTTGGGTCTCACACAGGAAGGAATTCAAGATGAGTCACAAAGTGCAGTGAGAAGAGAGTTTGTTGAAAGCTTACTCTGGGCCAGCATGATGGCTTAGATCTGTTTTCCAAGCACATTGGGAGGCCGAGGCGGGAGGATCACTTCTGGTCAGCAGTTCGAGACCATGTTGCCTGGGCAACATAGGGAAACCCCATCTTTTCCAAAAACAACAAAAATTAGCTGGGTGTGGTGGCCTGCAACTGTAGTCCCATACACTCAGGAGGCAAGAGTTCAAGACCCAGCTGGCCAACACAGCAAGACCCTGTCTCTATTTAAAAAAAAAAAAAAAATGAAAGGAAAGGAAAGGAAGAAAGGGAGGGAGGGAGGAAGGAAGAAAGAAAAAGAAAAGAAAAGGAAGGAAAAGAAAGAATGATTCTCTGTTACAGCATACAGCATCCTTATAAAGCAAGTGGAGGAATGTACTAAGTTTTTCTTATGTGGGAGTCTTGTCTATGTGAAGACTAAACTAACCTGTGCCTACCTGCATGTGGGCTGACAGCATCACAAAATTTTTACTCTGTTGATTTAAAGAAAACTACCCTTTACATTTTAGTGCCCAAGTGCATTAAAACATAACTGTAATTATCTTGAAAGCACATATTGTTACGGGTATTGGGACATGGGGACGTTCTGTTGTTGTGGGAGTGTAAGGATACTTGCAGGCATCTTCAGGCTGTTTTCTTCATGGGAAACATTTGATGATCATGGGTTGTGACTGGCAAGGAGTGTTTCTTGTTAGTCTCAAGATGGAGCTGAACTTAAATTGGTGTTACTCTGGCTCCCCTAGGCACCTGCTTCCCTAACACTTATATAGGGAAATTGCAAATAAATATAATAGGATTGCATTTTCCATACAAGGCTGATGTATGAGGTACAATAATTTAATTTTATTTTTTTCTTTGAGCTAATGTCTTGTTCTGTGGCCCAGGCTGGAGCAGTGGTGCGATCATGGCTTACTGCAGCCTTGACCTCCCTGGTTCAAGCACCTCAGCTTCCCAAGTAGCTGAGACTACAGTTGCCCGCCAGCACACCTGGCTAATTTTTTTTTTTTTTTTTTTTTTTTATGGAGATGGTGTCTTGATATGTTGCCTAGGCTGGTCTCTAGCTCCTGGACTCAAACAGTCCTGCTTCCTTGGCCTCCAAAAGTGCTGGGATTACAGATATCAGCCACTGCACCCGGCTAACAACTTAATTCCTTAGGGTTTGCTTTTTTCCCCCAGAGCTTGTTTTCTTTCTAGCTGGTTTTTATTTCCTTTTCAATTTAAAAGAGTGAATTTAACATTCCAGCTGAAGACAATGTGATAGACATGAAGTCTTTGTGTGAGGAAGTAAAGAGGGAAGTTAGTCTACTACAGAGATCAGTAGTGAAGAGGGGCCTGGCGGGATGGCTCACACCCGGAACCCCAGCACTTTGGGCGGCCGAGGCAGGTGGATGGCTTGATTTCAGGAGTTCAAGATCAGCCTGGGCAGCATAGCAAGACCCTATCTCAATTGTGAAAAATCATATTTAAAAAAAAAAAAAGTGAAGAGGGAAAGGGTCTTTCCTGTTTCCCTTCAGTCATTTACAACATTTTACAAAACACTATAGGTAAGAAAGAAGGTGAATCTGTAATCAGGGAAAGGAGAGTTCCAGCTGTCTGTGTGAAAGCTGTGCATCATGTGACTGAACCCCATGATCACATTGCTTCAAGATAGAGATCCACCAGCTTAAATATTTGAATTACTTTGTTGTTTTTGTTTGTTTGTTTGTTTTGAGATAGGGTCTCACTCTGTGGCCCAGGTTGGAGTGCAGTGGCACGATCTCAGTTCACTGCAGCCTTTGCCTCCTGGATTCAAGTAATTCTGCTTCAGCCTCCCAAGTAGCTGGGATTACATG